GAGAAATTTAAATGACCAAAATCCAACTTTTTCCACAGCGTAATGGCCTACATCCTACGGTTTTAAGACATGGTTTTTATTACGGTGGATGCACTGGTTATGATTTTCCAATATTTGGACCAGCTGAGTGGACAACAGCTTGGAGAAATAATATGGATAAGTGTGAAGTCATACACTTTGGTAGGAGGAATTGAGATCCAGAGTATTTATAGAATGGTGAGAGACTGAGAAGTATTGATGTCCAAAGAAACATGAGTCCTTGTTCTGAACTGATTGAAAGCTAACATGACGCTGCAGCAACCAATTAGGAAGGAAAATTGTATGCTGACCTTTATTGTAACAGGATTTGAGTGCAGGAGCAAAGATGTCTTTCTTCAATTGTATAAAAATTTGGTGAGAATGCACACGGAGTGTCTTGTGAAGTATTGGTCCACTACCTTAAAACAGGATATACTTGCCATGGAGACAGCGCAACGGAAATTCACCAGACTAATTCCTGGATGGCAGGAATGTCCTTTGAGGAGAGGTTAAGGGAACTGGACCTGTATTTTCAGGAATTTAGAAGAATACCCTATGACTCTGATACATTATCTTAGAGCTTAGCAAATTCTTAAACCTATAGAAAGTGTAAATGCAAACAGGAAGTTAGAGAATAAGGGGCAAACCATTTGTGACTGTGATGATGATGAATTCCTTCAGATGGTAATGGATATTTAAAATTCTATACCTCAGAGCTATGTAAACTCAAGTCATTAAATATGTCCAAGACAGAGATCAATAGATTTCTAATTACAGTTATTGCTAAGGGAAATGGGGATGGTATGAGAAATAGATGACAGGTCACGGTCTAGAATGGCAGAGCAGGTTCTAGGGGCTGAATAGCCTACTCTGGCTGCGATGTTCCAATCCAGATATGCTGACAATAAAAAGGTAGGTGAGAATACCAGCTGAGAAGCGGACACAAACAGTCTGTGGAGTGATATATACAGGTTAAGTGAATGGGCAATAAAGTGACAGATGGGGAAGAGTGAGGTTTTCCATGTTCTACTCCTGACAGGCAGTTGTTAAAGGAAGAATCCAAAGCTTGAATAGATTTATTCACAGTGTGAAACATTGCAGGTATATATTTCCTGACTCCACTCAGAATTGATTTGAATCATTTGTTGTCACATGTATTCAATGTAAAAATACAGTAAGAAGTGTGTACCTTCGCCATACATACATGGAGCCATTCACATTAACTTACAATAAGATAAGGAAAAAAAAAAAACTTGAGAGTCCAACTTTCCACTACCACAGTCCCACTCCGGGCTTTCCAGCCCACGCCATGCCGCTGCCAACAGAGTAGTGTGCCACACAATAAGGTGGAGAGTGTTGTCGGTTTAGAATGGAATGTGGTACCACTGCGGCTGTGCAGTGTTCTATCCTACTAATATTGTCATTGATGTGGACCATATAGATTGGCAGGGGGACGGTTCACCTAGTGAGGTTGATGGCTGGTGTGCGATACAGAATGATGCCAGTAGTGTGGGTTCAATTCCTGCACTGGCAGAGGTTACCATGAAGGATTCTCGTTCTCAACCCCTCCCTTCACCTGAGGCGCAGTGACTCTCAGGTTAAACCACTGCCAGTCGTCTCTCTGTAATGAGAGAACATCCCTATGGTCCAGTTCTTTTACCTTTATAGATTGGTGAGAGCGAGCTCAGGGAGGTGTCTCTGTTTTCTCATTACATGCTGCAAGATCAAACTGCCAACTGCATCCTTCAAAACTGACGGCCTCCATTTTATCATTGTGATGAATATTAAAGTCTTCATCCGGAGAGCATTCTCTGCCTTTGCTATTCTCAGCACTTCTTCAAAGTGGTGTTCGACATAAGGAATAGTGACTCTTGTACATGATTGACCTGATGCCTTGAGACGTCTAGGATCAGATGTCAATGCTGAGCATTCCTGGATAACTTCTGCCCACATGTATATAACTATGTCACCATTTCTGTGTATCACAGAATCATTCAGTACTGAAGCAGTCCATTGGCCCATGGAATCTGTCCTCCAAAAATACGCTACTACCAACACTTGTCCCACTTCAAGTGCTTATGCAACTACTTTTTTTAAAGATTGTGAGGTTATCTGCCTCAACTATCCTCCCAGACAGTTCATTCCAGATCCCACCATTCTCTGGGTGAAAACATTTTTCCTCAAATCCCCTCTAAACCTCATGCCTTTCACTTTAAAAAGGTACCCCTTTGATCTTGACCTTTCGACTAAGGGGAACAGCTGCTTTCTATCTTCCCTGTCCAGACCCCTCATAATCTTGTACACCGCAGCCTGATCCTCTCCTCAACCTTCTTTGCTCCAAAGAAAACAAGCCAAACTTATCCAGCCTCAGTTCATAGCTGAAATGCTCCATCCCAAACAAATTCTGGTGAATTTCCTCGAGATCAGTCACATTCTTCCTAAGGCGTGAGGATCAAAATTGCACACTGTACTCCAGCTATGGCCTGACCAAAGTTCCATGCAGCTTCAAAATAATCTCCCTGTTCCGATCATCTATGCCACTACTATAAAGGCAAACATCCCATATGCCTTCTTAGCTCCCTATCAACCTGTCCTGCAACCTTCAATGATCTGTGGTCGAGCACCCCAAGATCCCTCTTTTCCTCTGAACTTCCTCTTATTCTTTGAATACTCCCTTGTCTTGGTGGCACTTCTAAAGTGTATCACCTCACTATTGTCAGGGTTAAATTCCATCTCTTTGTATCATCCACAAACTCACTTATCATCCCACCCACACTCTCAACTACGTTATTTGTGAATATTACAAACACGAACAGTAAGGGATCCTGCACTACTCCCTGCAGAACGCCACTGCACGCCAAGCTCCAGTCACACAAACAGCCTTGTACCATCACCTGCCACTGAGCCAGTTTTGGATCCAACTTGCCAAGAAATCCTGGATGTTTTTGCCACCTTTATCAGTTTCCCATGTTGAACCTTGTTAAAGCTCTTGCTGAAGTCCACATAAAGTATGTCACCTGCTCTATCTTCATCTACATACTTGCTAGCCTCCTTGATAAATTTCAGCCAGATTTGTTAGGCTTGACCTCTCTTTGACAAAGTCATGCTGACAATCCTGATCACCCCTCGCCTCTCTAAATAGAGATTTTCTCCTTTTGTATTTTCTACAGTAGTTTCCAGAGGAGGTCTGTTCTGCCAGTAGAACAGAGCATAGACAGGAATGCTGCTGAAAGAACCTGCTGCACAGGGTTAAAGATATAATTCTGAGAATAGGACTATCAGATTGTTGCATGACTCTGTTGGCTACCCTAGTTTTAGTATAAATCCCCAGCTGTTGCTGACGACCATATTGTAGGTCTGACTGGGCTGGCAGTGCCTTTGTCCTGTCTGATACCAATACCTAGATTGATGCTGAGAAGTGCGTCTATTTTATTCTTCTTATGCATTGTTTAACGTAGTTTTGTACAACCAGGTAACTGTTAGGGCATTACAGCAGGCAGGTAAATGTCACCCTCTGTGGCATATATTAGCCAGGTCAGATAATGCTGGCAAGTTTACTTTCTTTAAGGACATTAGTGAAGCAGATAGAGTTGTATCACAATCAGGTAATTTCATGGTCTCCATACTATTTGTTTTATTAACTGAATTGAGATTCAAATTACCATGGTAGATTTGAAGTCACTTCCCTAGTTCATTAAATTGGGCCTTTAGACTAGGAGTCCAGTAATACAACCACAATGACATTTATACCCATTTTATATGATTGAATAGTAGTTTACTGAAGCATTCTATACTTATAGATGTTTGAATTTAATACTTAGACTTAGTCTCATCCTTGTTAATTAAGTAACCCATTGTACTGTTGTACTATGTTTAGTTGCTGTTTACTTGCATAGATCAATTTAACATGCAAAAATAAAATCTGGATTGTTTTTGTACATGCAGTACAATATACAAATGTGTACAAACGCAAAACATATTTCGTTCATTGATTACAGCGTTAGTGATAGTGATAATCATTCATTTGAATGATTCCAGCTGATGATAATACTAGACAAATCAGATCCCAGAAGGAAATCTGATTTTGATAATTTTTTTCATTTTGGTAATTAGTTACCATCGTGGTTACTCTCTGAAGATTGCAGATATTCTTTAACAATTGACCACATGTTTATTATACAAGAACAAAAAGCGCATGAAGATATAGATGAAAGTTAGAAAGATCTTAACGCAAACAGCAAAACAAAATTTCAGTGTGTTCCCCAATGCTATTCTTTTACAGCCATTAAACCCTAAAATCTCAAGACGAGGAATTGAAAGAAAGAGATAAGTCCAACTTATAGATGAGATACAGAAGGGAATTCTCTATGATATTTGAGTGTTAAAAAGTAGTAGTGTTAGAGTAGATGTGACTTGAACTTTACAGTGTGTTGGAAATATCTCAAATTTTATTAGATGTAAATAGCTTATTCTATTTCATCTTAGTTTATTTTGAGTTACAAACTTGTTTACTGTTAAAACCATAATATGTCATTGTATGCTTGTGTTTCAATGAAAGATCACCTTGTTAAATAAAAACAAATCAAAATATGATCTTTCAAGCCCGTCTTGATTTTGAAATCTGACTTGTCCAGTAATAATATAGCTGGGATCATAACAATATAAATATCCCACCCATTAACATTACAGGGTTTCTCCTTGGCACTGGAGTCTTATGCTTTCTTGGAATGAATGCATCTTGATCACTTTCAAATGATTTGCTGTCCTGTTTTTAAAAAAAAAAGAGAGAACCTTCACAGGACTGCCCCATATCCACCTGCCTTGACTTTGAAATCTAGTTCCCACTATATAATGTATGTATGTATTACATCTTTCATCGCACATTTTATAATCATAGTTCATAAAACTGCTGTGGAACTGTAACTGTTGGGCAGGATTACAACTGGTAATTTAGTATTGAAACTTTTTTTTTCCCTTTGAAGGCTTCTCCGATGAAATCAAAGCATGTTGGAGATTCACAAAAATCTGTAAATGACAGGGGCTGGCTACAACAAAACAGGTATTGCCTTCAGTTTCAATTTTGACTTTATATGAAATAACTAAAGAATTCACCAAGCTGGTGAACTGCTTTTAGAAATGTACTTCGGTCTATGGGTATTTGTATAACCGTATTCCAGTATGAATTTGCACCTTAAGGAGAGAAGAAGCCAACCAGAAATTAAGGAAGCGGGGATAGAAAAAAATAACTTTTTGTGTGGATTCTTTATTAAAAAGTGAACCAAAAACATTAGAAAGATAGAAATAATGCCTGCAGCTGTTGGCTAGTTAGTTGGGCATCGATGGCTCGAAGAGTTCAAAGATAGATAACAAAATTCTAGAGACAAATACTATAATTTAATAAAACAGATTTAGAAAAAGAAAGTCCAACTTGACTCAACAAATAATTTAAAGTAGTGGAAAGGGCAGAGTGATGGGATTGGTATACATGTTATTTCAGAAAGCCCTTGGTAAAGTTCCACATAATACATTAATGGTAAAGGTCAGGGTGTGTGAAGTCTACAGCCAGTCATTTTTTTTTATTTGTGTTCCTCTAGCTAGGCCAGCATTTATTTCTCATCCAAGTTGGAGTAATTGTTACTTCCCATTTGTCAGTCCAAGCCTGGATGTTGTGCAGGTCCTGCTGTATATCGATATGGAGGGCTTCAGTATCTGAGGAGATGTGAATGGTGTTAACTATTGTCGTATTGCAACATTTCCCACTCTGCCGTAATGATAGAGGGGAAGCCATTGATAAAGCAGCTTTACTTTGGGCCTCCCCTGAGGAACTCTTGCAGTGATGTCCTGGGGCTGAGATGATAGACATCCAACAACCACAACCATCTTTCTTTAACTAGGTATGACTCCAACCAGTGGGGTGATTTTCCCCCAATTCCCATTGCCTCCAGTTTTTCTAAGGCTTATTGCTACTCTGTCATTTTCTGATGTCATGGGCTCTCACACTTGCCTTTTCTGTTTTGTCCATGTTTGGACCAAGGCTGTAACTAGGTCAGACCTGAGTGGCTCTGCAAAACCCAAACTGTCTGTCATTGAACACATGATTCCGTTACAGGTGCTGCTTGGTCACACCGTCAATGATCCCTTCCATCAGCAGCACCAGGCATACTTAAAAATGAGATACCAACCTTGTGAAGCTACCAAACAGGACTACTTGCACGCCCATCAGCATAAGCAGCAAGTGATAGACAAAGCCAATCAATCCTATAATCAATGGATCTAATCTAAGCTGTACAGTCCCGCCACATGCAGTCGTGCAGGGTGGTGGATAATTAAACAGCTCACTAAAGGAGGAGGCTCCACCATTCCCCATTCTCAATGATGGACAATCCCAACACATCAGCGCAAAAGATAAGGATGAAGCATTCTCAAGAGCCAGAAGTGGATTATCCATCTCAGCCTCCTCCAGTGATCCCCAGTATCACAGATACCAATCTTCAGCCAACTTGAATCACTCCATGTGACATCAAAAATCGGTTGGAGGCACTTAATAGTGCAAAGACTACGGGCTCTGACAATCTACCAACCATAGTAGAGTCATAGAGATGTAGAGCATGGAAACAGACCCTTTGGTCCAACTTGCCCATGCCAACCAAATATCCTAAATTAATCGAGTCCCATTTGCCAGCATTTGGCCCATGTCCCTCTAAACCCTTTCTATTCATATATCCATCCAGATGCCTTTTAACTGTTGTAATTGTACCGGCCTCCACAACTTCCTCTGGCAGCTCATTCTCTGCACCACCCTCTGCATGAAAAGGTTGCCCCTTAGGTCCCTTCTAAATCTTCCCCTTCTTACTTTAAACCTATTCCCTCTAGTTTTGGACTCCTCCATCCTGGGGAAAAGACTTTGTCCATTTATCCTATCCATGCCCCTCATGATTTTATAAACTCTATAAGATCACCTCTCAGCCTGCGATGCTCCGGGGAAAATAGCCCCAGGCTATTCAGCCTTTCCTATAGCTCAAACCCTCCAACTCTGGCAACATCCTTATAAATCTTTTCTGAACCCTTTCAAGTTTCACAGCATCCTTCTTATAGCAGAGAGACAAGGATGGCCTGCAGTATTCCAAAAGACTTGTGCTCCAGAACTCACCACTCCCATAGCCAAGCTCTTCCAGCACAGTTACAACACTGGGATCTACCTGATAATGTGGATAATTGCCCAGGTATGTCCCATACACAAAATGTATGGCAAATCCAACATGGCCAATTACCGTCCCATTAGTCTATTCTCAATCATCAGTAAAGTGATGGAAGGTGTAGTCAACAGCGCTATCAAATAGCTCCTGCTCAGCAATAACCTGCTCCGCGAAGCCCAGTTTGGATTTCGACACTCAGCTCCTGCACCTCATTACAGCCTGGGTTCAAACATGGACAAAAGAGCTGAATTCCAGAGATGAGCTAAGAATGTCAGCCCTTGACATCAAAGCTGCAGTCAACTGAGTTTGGCGTCAAGGAGCCTGAGTAAACCTGAAATCAATGGGTATCAGAGACAAACTCTCTGCTGGTTAAGTCAACTGGCACATAGGAAGATGGTTGTGGTTGTTGAAGATCAGGTATCTCAGCTCAGGACATCTCTGCAGGAGTTCCTCAGGGTAGTGTCCTAGGCCCAAACATCTTCAGCTGTTTCATCAATGGCCTTCCCTTCATCATAAAGTCAGACGTGAGGATGTTTGCCAATGATTGCACAATGTTCAGTGCTATTTGCGACGACTCAGATACGGAAGCAGTCTGTGTTCAAATGCAACAAGATCTGGATGATTTCCAGGCTTGGGCTGCCAAGTGGCAAATAACATTCGTGCCACGCAAATAACATTTGTGCCACACAAATGCCAGGCTATGACCATCACCAATAAGAGACAATCTGACTACAGCCCTTTTGACATTCAGTGGTATTACCGTCACTGAATCCTCTACTGTCAACATCCTGGGGATTACTGTTGAAATGGAACTGGAGTCAGTAAGTTAAAACAGTGGCTACAGGAGGAGGTCTGAGACGAAGAATATTGTGATGAGTAACTCACCGACTGACTCCCCACAGCATGTCTATCATCTGCAAGGAGCAAATCAGGAGTGTGATAGAATAGTCTCCACTTGTCTGAATGGGTGCAGTTCCAGCAGCACTCAAGAAGCTTGAGTATCCCTGATAGCATTGAAGCTTAGCCTGATAAATGACGAAGAGCATTTGCACCACACAGTTGCTAGGCAATGACCAACAGTTCCAAATGAGAGTGGAACCATATTCCATTGACATTCAATGGCTTTATTTTCACTAAATTCCCCTCTATCATCATGCTGGGGGCTAATATTGATGAGAAACTGAACTGGATCTGCTTTATAAATACTGTGGCTATAAAAGCAGGGCAGAGTATAAATTTAAAACACATTTGGACAGGTACATAATTTGTAAAAGTTTAGACAGATATGGGTCAAACACAGGCAAATGGGACAAGTTTTGTTTGGGAAACTTGCTTGGCATGGAATTGTTGGACCAAAGGGTCTGTTTCTGTGCTGTATGGCTCTATGACACCATCCAGGACGAAGCAGCCTGCTTGATTGGTACCACATCATAAAGCATCCTCCACCACCACCACACCCGCCCCGCCCACCCCAAAAAAATCAATGCTCCATAGCAGCAATGTGTATTGTCTACAAGATGCACTGCGGAAATTCACCAAAGATCCTTAGAATGCATCTTCCAAACCCATGACCACTTCTCTCTAGAAGGACAAGGGCAACACCTGCAACTTCCCCTCCAAGGCACACTCCATCCTGACTTGGAAATATAACGCTGTTCCTTCACTGTCACTGGATCAAAATCCTGGAACTCCCTCCGTAAGGGCATTTTGGGTCAACCTACATCTCCTGGACTGCTCGAGAAGGCATCTCACTGCCACCTTCTCAAAGGCAGTTAGGAATGGGCAATAAATGCTGGCCAGCCAGCAACATCCATGTCCCACGAGTGAATAAAAGAAAACTATTAACAGGAAAAGATTGGTAGATAAAAATAAACTACTTTGACTAGTTGGGGATACTAGAACTAGGGAGCACAGTATGAGAATTAGTGGCAGACTCTTAAGGAGAGATGTTAAGAAGCACGTCTACTCAAAAAGGGTGGTAAATGTTTGGAACTCACTTCCACAACTGGCAGTGGATGCTTGATCAGTGTTCATTTTAAATCTGAAATAGATACATTTTTGTTGATACAGGACAAAGGTGTGTACAGCATATATATATCAGGCATGATCTCATTAAATGATGGAACAGTGTCGAGGGGCTGAATGGCCTATTCATGTTTCTCAGGTCACTGCATTGGAAACATTAACTCTGTTTTCTCTCCACAGATGCTGCCAGATCTGCTGAGTTTCTCCAACAATTTCTGTTTGTGTGTTTCGGTGTTCCAGCATCCACAATTCTTTGTTTTATCTTTGGATTCATAGTTTATTGATAATGCCGCTTGACCATTGCTTCCCCAACTGCAGATCTTTGTTTCTTTTCATGTATATAATTGACAGTGGTTTGTTTGAGGTGAAGGGCAGCAATTAAACTTGGCATGCATCACCTATTCCCAGTAGAAGTGTGTAATAGTTTCATAATGTGGTATGTACAGTTTAATGTGATTTTAAATGTCAGTATTGATGAAATCTTAGCATATTTTGCTGGGTTTATCATTTGATAAAGGCAAGTTTTACTATTATTTTTGAAGATTCTAAGCTTATTACCTGTATATCTAGCATTTAATTTTTTCTAAAATTAAACCTACGATTGAATTTCTTCTAGTGTATTTTCAGAAGCTGGCTTGAGCTCTCCACCTCCATCTAGTGGCCAAAATGTGGTAATTATCATACTGTTGATCCTATTCCATGTTTTTAGAACATCTTCAGTGTTATTGAAGTTTGTGGGAATTGCACTTAAAATGTTAAAATTGTCCTGGAACCACATGTAATGACTTAGAGCAGTGATGAGGCAACATTAAAATGTTAATAGTTAAATCAAAGAATTGTGCAGCAGTATATGTGTTTTAAATATAAAGAAATTAATGCATTTTATTGCAATCTGCCCAAAGTGTTTTCCTTTTCTGCTCTTCTTTTCACAAGTAATGCAGAATAATAGAAATTGAGATGGCAGCTCTGATTTTCCCAATATGCAATATTCAAGTAAACTGTTACACTTAATAGAATTGCAGCTGTGATACTTGTTAAACTTTCCCCAGTTGGTTCGAGTGAAGATGTCAGACATCTCAGCAAGTTTAGTTATCAGCTTCAGTTATCAGTTTCAATCCTGGGAGCCAATGAGGAAAAACCAACATAAATTGCTTTAATCCTTAAAACAATCATGAAAGTAGAGCTGTGTAGCATGGATCTTCAACTGTTTAAATCTCTCATTACTCAGAATTCATTATTCCTGATCTTTTCTTTTTGCAGATTAACAAAATAATTGTCCTTAAAATAGTTATAGATTATATCAACTGCAACTTAATGTTGTCACATGAATATTACAATCGGTGTTACAAAGAAGTGATCAATGATTGATGAACAGGTAAATGTGTTTGAATACTGTATCTGTCAGGTTTCAGATGTTGAGTGCTCAGAATTGGAGTTACAGAGGAGACGTGAGCAACTACTCGTAGAACGGACCAGAAGAGAGGCACAACTTGCTGCTCAGCAATATGAAGAGGAGAGAATCCGAACTAAACAAATTCAGAAAGAGGCCGTTCTTGACTTTGTGAGAGTAAGCAATAATATTTCAGAGATTTAAATGCAACACTGTGCTCATTTTCCAAGAATAATCCAAAATTAACCAGGTTTGTAATTTTATTGATGAAATGATCTGCAGAAACTCATTTTTGTTTTCCATCTTGTTTGTGATTATTTCACTTCAATTAAGTCCCCCATTCTTAAATTTTACTGACCTAAGTAGCTAAAGAAATGGCAGACCAGGTTCAGTGGGATGAATTGCCAAGCCATTTTAATTTCTCAAGGATAGTTAAGAAATTTGCTCTGGATTTCTACTTAAGCTGTTCTATAGGACTCAGGAAGTATATGGGTTCACTGCCTGTGTTCACTATGCCCTAATAGTCCAGCTGAAATGAAATGAATCAAAGTTATATTGTTCTTTCTGACATGATACTTTTCTTACTTCCCTGAACCCAGTCATTTCAAAGAGGGATGGGGTTATGTCAACATGTATTTCCCCCATTGTCTTTAAAAACTCTGCTCATATTTAAACCTTCTCCTGTCTTAAGGCATTTTAAATGAGTATGTTCTGAACTGTCAGTGCACTTCGCCTAGAGTTCTTTGAATGGTAATCCATCATCTTACAGGCTTAAAATAAAGTTAATAGTAAAAATGAGGTTAATAGTTTGCGCAGAATTTGTTAGTTTCCTTTCTTCCTTGATCCTTTTTCAAAAGATAGTGTTCTCGAGTCCATTGAAAATGGCTGACCTTTGCATGTTCATGTGTACAGGGGATTTTGGCATCAATTTGTACCTGTGGGCAGTACGAGAATCAGAATCTTCTCCTTGATCCGCTGTCTTTAAGTGGATGCTAATTAGAGATAGAAGTTGTTTGCTCCATCCCAGCCCAGGAATGTCTAATCTAACTGTCATTACTTGTGCCTGTGCTTTAAATCAGGCATCTAATTTTGGGATTGGTCTGGTCTCTTTGGCTCCATTACATGTTGAGTTGTCAACTGAACAATTGGGCAAGTTTCACTAACTTGTATCTGGGCTTTCCCATCAGATTAATTTGTTTGACAAGTCATATTGCTGTGAACAACTAGGAATGATAATAAATGAAGATAAGATATTTTCAACTTAATAAATCTCAAATAAAATTTTCACACATTTACTAACACAGAATGTTCATTTAAAATATGAAACATAATCCATTTTCATTATCAATGATATTTTTATGGCCAGGTTTATATTATTGTGGCTAATATTAATCTATGTAATATAATGAATGTTACCTGGATGTATTAGACTACCTTTGTCTAAATAACTTATCCAGTTGCACTTTTCACTTTTAATGGTTAAGGTATGTCAAAAATTTCAGAAACACTTCTCAAATAATTGGCACCATTTTCTCATGTATCATTTGCATTCAACATATGAATAAAAGATGGAAACATTGCTGCTTGGCAAAGTTTAAATGGGAAGTATACAATCTGACTCGGTAGATGTAGGAATAGCTACTAATTAATGGAAAATGCAATTTAGGGAGTTGCCACTTCAATATAATTTATAGGAATGGTAATTAAATTGCTAGTGCTTGTGCTTTATCTCCCTGCAGCAAAAGAGTGGTCAAAGCCCTCAGCAACAAAGTCCCTCTGACAGCGATCACAATGATGTAAGTGCTCTACAGGTTTGGCTGGATGTTAGAGAATAGAGTGACTGGGGAGGGATTTCATCTGTTGTTTGAAGGCGCAGTCATTTTAGTGTTACTTAATCTTTCATTTTAAGGGACAACGTAATCCTAAATTGTTGTTAATCAAAAGCATCACATACCAGAATGTGTGATATTTGTGTCTGAGTCAATCTTTATACTAATCACCCTGTACTTTTTTGCAGCACTTCATTTAGACTAATCAAGTAATTAGTTTGGAGATTATTGTAGTATTCATGGTTTCCTGCATCAAATTTAATATGTAGGTATTCCATAAAACTATACCACAGTCTCCATTTTGGAATATCAGGCTTCTAAATAATTTTGATTTTCCATCTTGCCATTAAGGGAGCTATATGTTGTTGTTGTTGCTACTTCACTTTCTGGAGTAAACGATAATTTTTAAATGTGTTTTAGAAATATCTTGTGTCAACGTTTTTTGTTGACGATAAGATTGAGAAGAATTGTATCATTCACAATTTTATTTAAATAGTCTAATGTTGACGGAGGATGTGCCAATGTGTAGTATTCATTGAATGGTTTAAACAGAGAAGGAGGCCATTTGGAGATAGCAAGAACTGCAGATGCTGGAGTCACACAATACAGTGTGGAGCTGAAGGAACACAACAGGCTAGGCAGCATCAGAGAAGCAGGAAAGTTGACGTTTAGAGTCGGGACCTTTCTTCAGAAATGGCCATTTGGTCTGTCTTTTTTGTGTTGGCTCTCATGCCACTTCCCCTTTGCCCAGTAATATTTTCCTTTATGGATAATATTCCAAAGAAATTTGAATGCCTCAGTTGATCCTGTATCCACCACACTCTTCAGGCAATACATTCTAGATTCTAAACACTTCGCAGAAAAGCTTTCGGATGTCTCCATTGCTTATCTTCCTCATTACCTTAAATCTGTGCCCTGTGGTTCCTGATCATTATATCAATGGGAACAGTTCTTCCTAATGTCCTCTGGCCAGACCCCTTATGATTTTGAGTCTGTTGATCAAATCTCATCGCAACCTTTTTGCCATGGAGAACAGTCCAAGCTTCTCCAGTATTTCTGTCTAACTGGAGTTCTTCATCCCAGGGACCATTCGTATCAATCTGTTTTCCAGCTTTTTCCTCTCCCATTTTACGATTACATGCTTGAGCTGTACAATTCCATTAAAATCAAAATTGTAAGGGTAAATTGTAGTTCCTCTGTATTGTTCCATTGGCCAAATGTTTCCATTTGATGGCCAAACAGTTTGAGTCTGGTATATTTTTAAGTTGAAAGATACAAATATTAATGCTGTTAAGTAATTTTTTCAAAACAATTCACCATGATAATTAGAACTTCTTTGTCGTCATCTTTTTCCAGCTTCCTTCTGCAGTTTAGTTGGGTTAGCTATGGTAAATGTGGGGTTACAGAGCTAGGATGGAATACTCTTTGGAGGGTCAGTGCAGACCCAATCGGCCAAATAGCCTCTATACGTATTGTAGGGATTCTGCGATTCCATTTTACAAGATATTGTCACAGTACTGGTTGATCACCCTAACCCTGTTGGTCACCTATTCATAGAATCATCATAGAATCCCTGCAGTGTGGAAGCAGGCCATTTGAACTAACAAGTCCACACCGACTCTCCAAGGAGCATCCCACCCAGACCCATCCCCTGACCCTATCCCTGTAACCCTGCATTTCCCTTGGCTAATCCACCTAACCTACACATCCCTGAACACTGTGGGCAATTTAGCATGGCCAATCTACCTAACCTGTACATCTTTGGACTGAGAGAGGAATCTGGAGCACCCAGATGAAACTTCCTTAGACACGGAGAGAACGTGCAAACTCCACACAGACAGTCACCTGAGGCTAGGGTTGAACCTGGGTGCCTGGCACTGTGAGGCAGCAGTGCTAACCACTCATCAGCTAATCCCTCTGTGTTTCAGTCTCTTATGGCAACATCATTGCATGTGGTCTTAGGCTCTTCACCACTTTCTCTCTGACAGACTCATTTGCATCACTCATCTCAACATGTATTTTCTCTTTGCAACAGATGGTCATGCTGTTTCATTCTCTTTTTAACTACTTGCTTTGATGCTTGCGCACACTCACTGACCTTGCTATAAGTATATTCTTTCTCCACTCCACATTTTATCTCCCGGCTATCCAGTTGTTTTTCCTTTGTTTGCGATTTCGCAGTATATAGTGAGGCTGGTCTATAAACTTTCTTGTAGATTCTTCCTTTCACTTTGAGTGGTGGACTTTTTTTCTCACCATATACTACTTGTTTCAATTACTCCAACCCACTGTACTTTAAAACTCAACCATGGATAATCATCATTACTAAATCTTCAAAAATCCTGAAAACAGTATGTCCCAGATTTCCTAATTCTTTTGTGTGTTTACTCAACATATACCATTTAACTAAATGTGTGGTTTATCTAGATCTTGAAAATGGTTACAAGAACTGACAAGTATAAGTTAGAGTTTTTGTCTAAATTACAGTGAACCAAATCTTGTGATTTACGTATTTATGAAAATGTATAGCAAGATGTGTAGTCTAATTTCTTGCATTTGATTGAGTTCTTGCATAATTCATTACGTATTGATTGTTTGCCTCCGTACAGAATTTGTGTTATTTTTGGTTTGGTGTATCTGTTCTGATGATTAGTTTGCTTATATTGGGAATGGTTGTTGTATTTTTATTCATCTCTTTCCCTATTCCCCTCCCTCAGCTCCCCAAATATTTCCCTATCAGACGATCCCAGCATACAGATGATAGCGCCTTATTAGTGGTAAGAGTATGACTGCATGAATTGGCCTATATTGTAGAAGATTAGATCATAGAAATGGCATGACGTCTAATCTATCAATTTACCAATCATTAGCTTAAGCTTTACTGAATAGCACAACCCACATAAAAATGGACTGATTCCTTGTACTCTATCGCTGGAGAAGATCCAATGACACTTATTGAAACAAAACAATTCTGCAACTGGAGTCTTTCCTAAATGACTTCCCGTGACAATAACTTAAAGGTTGCAACAAAGAAAAGAAAAACTGAATAATCTTGCATCTGGACCTTGTATAAAAATAGTTAGTGACCAATGCAGTGAACGTTCAGCATTCTTGAATGGAAGAGACATAATGGTGCTGTTCTTCAACTATAACTACTTGTTAAACACTGAACATTCGAGAAGGCATAGAGCACGATAAATGGGAAGTTGAGTTGTGATCCACCTTGATTTTCACTACTTGAACTGAATATTGAATCTAACCCAAGTTAATGAGATGAACATTATCTCACCCACTGCTTATTATGTCTCTACTTGAAATAAAACTTGTCAACTTCATTCAACTTCATGAAAAAAGAACAAACACATACGAAAAAGCAAAGAGTAGTGGGAAACTAGTAGACTGGGAAATCTCTAAAGGCCAACAGAAAGCCACAAAAAAAGTTATAAAGAAAAGTAAGATAGATTATGAGAGTAAACTAGCTCAGAATATAAAACAGGCAGCAAAAGTTTCTATAAATAGGTAAATCGTAAAAGAGTGGCGAAGGTAAACATTGGTCCTTTAGAGGAAGAGAAGGCCAATTTAATAACTGGGAATGAGGAAATAGCCGAGACATTAAACAGTTATTTCGTGTTGGTCTTCACAGTGGAAGACACAAATAATAGGCCGAAAACTAATGGCAAGAAGGTTATCGCAGGTGAGGACCTAGAAACTATCATTATCACTAAGGAGGCAGTGCTGGGCAAGCTAATAGGGCTAAAGGTAGACAAGTTTCCTGGCCCTGATGAAATGCATCCCAGGGTACGAAAAAAGGTGATGGGGGAAATAGCAAATGCACTAGTAATTATTTACCAAAATTCGCTGTACTCTGGGGTGGTTCCCGCAGATTGGAAAAGAGCCAATGTGACGCCACTGTTTAAAAAAGGAAGTAGACAAAAAACAGGTAACTATAGGCCAGTTAGCTTAACTTCAGTAGTGGGGAAAATGCTTAAATCTATCATTAAGGAAGAAATAGCAAGACATCTGGATATAAATTGTCCCATTGGGAACACCCAGCATGGGTTCATGAAGGGTAGGTCATGTTTAACTAATTTGGTGGAATTCTTTGAGGACATTACTTGCATGGTGGACAATGGGGAACCTGTGGATGTGGTGTATCTGGATTTCCGGAAGACATTTGACAAGGTGCCACACCAAAGGCTGCTACATAAGATAAAGTTGCACGGTATTACAGGTAATGTATTGGCATGGATAGAGGATTGGTTGACCAGTAGAAAGCAAAGAGTAGGGGTAAATGGGTATTTTTCTGGTTGGCGGTCAGTGGCTAGTGGTGTGCCTCAGGGATCAGTGCTGGGATCTCAATTGTTTACAATTTACATAGATGATTTGGAATTGGGGACTAAGTGTGGTGTGTCAAAATTTGCAGATGACACTAAGGTGAGTGGTAGAGCAAAGTGTGCAGAAGACACTGAAAGTCTGCAGAGGGATATAGATAGTCTAAGTGAGTGGGCAAAAGTCTGGCAGATGGAGTACAGTGCTGATAAGTGTGAGGTCATTCATTTTGGTAGGAATAACAGCAAAATGGACTATGTTTTAAATGGTAAAAAATTGCAGCACGCTGCTGTGCAGAGGGACTTGGGTGTCCTTGTGCATGAATAGCTGAAGATGGGATTGCAGGTGCAGCAGGTGATTAAAAAGGCAAATGGAATTTTGTCTGCCATTGCTCAAGGGATGGAGTTTAAAAGCGGGGAGGCTATGCTGCAATTGTATAGGGTCCTGGTGAGGCCACACCTGGAGTACTGTGTGCAGTTTTGGTCTCCTTACTTGAGAAGAGATATACTAGCACTGGAGGGGGTGCAGAGGAGATTCACTCAATTGATTCCAGAGTTGAGAGGGTTGGATCATGAGGACAGACTGAGTAGACTGGGATTATACTCATTGGAATTCAGAAGAATGAGGGGAGATCTTATAGAAACATATAAGATTATGAAGGGAATAGATAAAGTGGAGGCAGGGAGGTTGTTTCCGCTAGCAGGTGAAACTAGGACTAGAGGGCATCGCCTCCAAATAAAGGGAAGCAGATGTAGGACTGAGGTCAGGAGGAACTTCTTCACCCAAAGGCTTGTGAGTCTGTGGAATTCCCTGCCCAGTGAAGTGGTTGAAGCTACCTCACTGAATGTTTTTAAGGCAAGGCAAGATAAATTTTTGAACAGTAAAGGAATTGAGGGTTATGGTGAGTGGGCGGTTAAGTGGAGCTGAGTCTCAAAAAGATCAGCCATGATCTTATTAAATGGCGGAACAGGCTCGAGGGGCCAGATGGCCTACTCCTGCTCCTGCTCCTGCTCCTAGTTCTTATGTTCATTCACTTTATAATGGGTGTAGGTCCATAGAAAGAAAAGTCCACAGATTGGCAGCCTTCACTGGCAAATAACTGAAGTACGAAGTGGAATAATTTGTACTAGTTGTGTAGCGTAACATAGGTAGAAAAGCCAGATACTTAATTTACATCTAATATACCAGCTTATTTGGAAACACTTAATGCTGATGCTGGATAATAGTTGTTTCCTTACGAATTTCTACAATTTCTCATGTTGAATTTTTTTTTGAGAATTGCCACTAAAGAAGTGTCATAACATATTAAAAATGGAATTACATCAGTGACTTCAGGTTCACTGTTTTAACCTACACTTCCTTCAGCAAAATAGTTGAATGATTGTATTATTTTGTTTATCTTTCACTTAGATGTGGTAAAGTGATGTGCTAAAGGCCTAATTTGAACCCTTCCTTAACCATTTTTGCACAGCAGTTATTTACAAATTTTCACTTTGGCTCAGTCGAGGCTTTGTGGTTTAGAACCCAAATCAAACCTTTTGTGCCGAATATCTTGGACTGTTTGGTGAACAGAGTACTTGAATATATCAAATGAAACCATTTTACTAGTTCAGCTGGGGAAAATATTTAGTTGAACATTTGATTTGCCAGTACCACGCTGTATATAATGTATTCAGGAGTGCAAAATAAAAAGGAGTGCACATATTGTTATGCTGGCATTGCACTAATGACCTCTATTACTGGTGCATAGAATTAAATGGCAAGAAGAAAAGACGTGGGCCCTGCTCTAGTCTACATACTATCCACCCGTAACAGACTTCAACCTTGCCAGTTAGGGTCCTGACAAATCATGCCAGCATCAAAGAGAAAGGGTGACCTTATAGAGGTTTATAAAATCATGAGGGGCCTGGATAGGATAAATAGACACGGTCTTTTCCCCAGAGTGAGGGAGTCCGAAACTTGAGGGTTTAAGGTGAGAGGGGAAAGATTTAAAAGAGGCCTAAGGGACAATTTTTACACGCAGAGGGAAGTGCATGTAAGGAATGAACTGCCAGAGGAAGTGGTGGAGGCTGGTACAATTACAACATTTAAAAGGCATCTGGGTGGGTGTATGAATAGGAAGGATTTAGAAGGATATCGGTCACGTGCTGGCAAATGGGACTAGATTAATTTAGGATATCTGGTCGGCATGGACGAGTTGCACCAAAGGGCCTGTTTCCATGATGTACACCTCTATGACACTTTGACTCTAATTCCCAAAATGTAATTCAGCAAGATATTTATTCAATTCCAAATTTCGTTTATCCGTCTATCCTGCACAGACAAGTTCTTTTTCCCATTAGCATAGTAATCCTCATAATGACATGATAGAACCATGAAAACCATTCCAGTAATTTCCAAGAGGTAGTAAGAACTGCCAGTGCTGGAGTCAGAGATAACGCAGTGGGGAGCTGGAGGAGCACAGCAGGCCAGGCAGCATCAGAAGCTGGAAAGTTGACGTTTTAGGGTCGGGACCCTTCTTTAGTCCAGATATTTACACAGTGTAGGATCTCGTACATTTGCTTGGTACTTTTCACTGGTTTGTGGAAATGGGGAAGATTTCTTCTGTTCTCACTTGTTTGTAAACGAAGTGGTGATTTAACCAACTTGATTGAAAGGTGATTTATGGCGGGATCTTGAAAAGGAAAATGATTAAAACTTTCTGGTGTAAGTCTTCTTAAGATAATCAAGCTATGTCTTTATGCAAGTGCTTAAATGAACACAAAGCTGAAAAGAAGGTAGAACATACAAACTTTGCAAACTCAAAAACTTTCCAAGTGACTATTATTCAACTTGAAATTGGAATCTGCAGTGGTTTGTGCTATTCACGTTAGTTTTGCCTGATAGTGATTTATTCATGGTTAGTTGATTTGACTTGAATCTATAGTTAATGACATTGACAAACTTGCCTGGACCATGAGACATGGGATTTTTTTTTGTGTTGCATGTACTCCACACCTGCTGAATATTCTACCTACAGTAATAACTGATGGATGACTCATTGCTGCAGTGGAGCATACAGAATGCATGTTCACACCCCTGCAAAATAGATGTACATAATGTTGTTATAATATATACATTTCAAAGTTTTTAGATTGCCCATGCATCAGAATATTTTGTTGTCAAGTTATTTTAAATAACAATTGTACAAAGAAGTGAATTGTAATCTGCTGGTTCCTCCTGCAAAGCCACTGCTCTAAAGCATTTCCATTTATATGTCTGATTGATTATTCATAATTTTTAAACTGGATTTTTGATATCTACTTTAAACCTTCAAATTATTTCTAATTTTTAACAAAGTCATAACAAGTTTGTAAGTTTTATTGATTTGATCTAAATTAATTTTCATTTTATTAAACATTACACATTTTCTAATTAAAGTATTCTATTAATTGTTTTTGACTTTAGT